CAACTTCAATAAACGAACACATTCAGTTCACAAAAGAGAGGGGCATCACAAGTTCAAAGTACAAACTTCATTCAATAAACGAACACATTCAATTCTGCAACTTGAACATTAAGAAAGAGATGAGATTAGAAGCCTCCCTTATGAGGAATCAGTCCCCCAAGGCATCCATGGCCTTTTACGACAATGGCCAAAGAGGTGGTCTAACTCCTCTGGATACCATCGAGGTTCCAAGTTCACCTCCTCCTCCCCTTCGTCCTCTGAAGCTGGAAAGCCTTCGTAAGTGTCCTCCACGCAGTCAGACCCCCACTTCTTCCGTATGGCCCATCCAGAGTCGGTTTCCGAAGTCCACCCTCGTTGGTCAGACTCTACACCTTCCTCGTCTGACATAGCTTCTGCTGAGGGTTTGTTCACCATAGCTTCGACAGAAGGAAGCGCGACATGCATGTTTCGATCTAGGGTTTCATCATCACCGAGGTTTGATTTAGGAAGGGCGACATTGTTCTTCAGATCTAGGGTTTCATCATCACGGCGATTTGATTCAGGACCCAGTGTTTCATCATCCCGCGGTAGAAATTGAGGGAGGACAGTGATGGTTGTTTTCTCCATGGATGAGAAGGGAGGAGAGTGGAGAGGTGAAGAGGGTTCTTGATAGAAGACAGAGAGATAGATAATAGTGTGGGGTTGAAAGCAGGGATCAGAGTAAATGGGGCACCGAATAGGCAGATGATGGAGAGATATGGGGAGGGCATTTATGAGTTTTTACCTTTAAAAACTTTCCTAATATGGAAATTGGAAGTTAATTTTGGGACGTCCATTTAAGGAAAGTGGGAAGTTGTTTTCGGGACGGAGGGAGTATAATCTAAATTATAAGGAACGTCTTCTTGAAACACTCGGCTGACTTGAATTAACCCATTCAGCAAGTCACCATGCCACACACCATGTTCTTATTGGACATCTTTTTTATTTCCTTATTTCTTTTTTTTTTTGTTTTCCTTTTCTCTTTCTTCTTTCTCTCTCGGTATTCTTTCTTCCGTCCCTGTCAGGTCACTGCTATCTGCTATCATGTCTTCCTTGTTTCTTTATTTTCTTTCATTTTTCTTTTCCTTTTAACCCTTTCCCTTACTTATTTCTTCTTTCTTCCCGGGCATTACAACGTTCAATTTTTTATTTTATTTCAATCTCTTTCATGGCATTTCCAGATTTCATCTCACAACAATTGAATAGGCGCATCCAATTCGAATCCAATTGATTTGAGCGTAAAATTCAAGTATTTGAGATGACTAGGGATGTCGGCCGTCCATGTTCCATCATCTCCATATAGGCCAGTTCTATATCTTTGCCGGAATCCGTCCGTCCAAGCTGTCCATCCGTTCATCTCATTTGTTCTTTGACGTTGGCACTCTCCTTAAATATCAAATTATTATAGAATGTTCGAGAATTTTGAGTACTTTGTAAGATATACTAGTATATTTTATACAATGTTTAAATAATTTATTATTGTTGGGAATGTTTGAGTACATTGTAAGATATATATTTTCTACAATGTTTAAATAATTTATCATTGTACTTCAAATGTTTGTTCATCGTGGATATATAGTAATTTATTTTAAGATAATATATTAAAAAGTGACATTGTAATGTAACACTAACACACCACACACATCAAGTGATCAAACATCAAATTTTTAGATTTTGGGAAAACTCATTATAAATAACATTCACAGTCTTAGTGAAGATTTTCTTCTTCTTTTGAACGTATAAGTATCTTAATTAAGATATATTTGCTCATTACCCTTGTCTATTGGTATCATAATGTATAATTGGCCATTAATAAAACTTATCTCTCAAGATATAAATCAAATTTTATGTGATAACATCTAACCTTAACTCTAATTTATTGTCATTGTAAAGCTTGTCATCACATGAAATTATTTTCTTCGGAAATTGAATAATGTTGTCATATGTGACAAAAGGATTGTCATTATGTAAACTCTATCTTTATAGTTTTTCGAGTTATTACTTGTCATTATTGCTTTTCCGATCTGGTTATGATCAACCATGTTTCATTGAATCAAACTTGTGCACGATTAATATTTCTCAATAACATTATTGAGGCTCCGGTTTTCAATTGTAGGATATGATTAGGCAATGCAGCCGTTGGAGCGCTATTAGGATATTCGACAATGTACATATCAAATGGAAGGTGATACCGTTGTGCGAAAGAATAATATTAATTGAACTAAGATATGTAACTCCTATTCTAGCTATCAACAATAGCATGTAGTTACTTATGTCATTAATAACGTATAATGTTGGCGCATGCTATGATTACTCTCTCTTAAAGATACATATGCTTGTTCGCTTAATATATCACAAAAGTCATGATATGTGCTTTCAACAGTACCTATGGTATGATTATCTTTTACCTTAAAAAACAAATCACTCACGATCTCTACTTCTAAAAAATCATCATCAATTTTCTACTCTAAGGTCATCAACTCTTACCTTAACAAGCCACATAGTTTTTGTTTGCTAGAGTCATTGTGACATATCATTAGTCTCATATTCTTTGTGAGAAAAAGAACTGAATAGCATTCTCAAAGTCTGAAGAGTCAACCGCCACTATAATCTCACCGGTTCTCAATAACTCTCTTCAAGACAATACAAACTCTCTGTTTAAAGTCTTCCCACGAATAACAATCTTCTTTCTGAATAGCATATGTTCATTTTTTATACATCACAATTGCATGATGTCTCTCGGTGTAAGGTCTAAAACCTTAAAACAAAACACGTGAATCATTATAGCTTCATCCCATATAATCAAAGATGCGGCAAGCAACAATTTTGCCTTCACACTTCATTAGCTTGATGAATATTGCAGATAGAGTGTGTGACAATATTTATGGAAATGTAATATCAAATGATGAGTTAAAATTTGCTTTTAAAATAGAAGATGTAGATGGATTTTAATTAACATATATGACCAATAATTACTTGCACAGTACATTTTCTACAAAGTTTTAGACTCTAACATGTCTTGTGATTCCATTTATTTGAACAAAATGATACAAAATCAATATTTATACTCTCTTTGTTCCTATAAAATTTCAACATGTTGATTTTTACACTAATCACATGTTATACTAAGTATTCTTCAACTCTTCTCAATTTAAATTTCCAAAAAGATGTCATTTTTAAATTTTTCTACTTATAACAAATTATATATTAATAATTAAAGCAAGGTGTTGGTAAATGTGAACATGGAAGTGTTGTAAATAAAAAAGAATGGAGAAAGCATAAAAGAGAAACTTTTCAAAAACATACAATTTGTCAGTATATTACAATTGAACTAATGGTTCAAGAAACGTTGTACCAAGTACATTACAATTGAACTAATGGTTCTCTCATATTATTAGTCATCTGTGCGTCGCACAAGCATGAAATATAGTATTAGTACGTCGCAGTGGTGGAACCAGGGGTGGGTGAGCCGATGCCAGCGCCACCCCTTCCCCGGAGATGTCAGGGTATAATTTTCATAGCGCCCCTGGTCGGCTGGTCGTCTTCTTCCTTGCCCCTGCTGCTTTCCGTCGATCTGTGCTCCGTTGGACAATGGATGACTTCAAACTTCAAAGGGTTTGTTTTTTACCTGAACATACAACGCTGTTTTGTTAAGTTTTTTAAAAAATAGAAACAACGTAGTATAGTGGTTAGTGGGGCACATAGGTACACTTTATTTTTTATTCTTATCGGTTATCAACTTATCATCCCAAAAGCCGGACCAAAGGCCTAGCCGCCCAAATGCTAAAATCTGAAATACTACGTTACCTACGTGTGTAGTTTAGCATGCCATTAATATAGGGGAAACTGTCAAATAGGTTCTCGTACTTTCGCCAAAAAGTCAATTGAGTCCTTCTATTATTTTTCGAATCAATCAAGTCCACCAAATTCAAAAAATTAACCAAATCTGTTGTTTGACCGGTAAGCAGTCGGTAACCCATATACCTGGTGATGTGGAAGTCCACGTGGCAAATTAAACTTTTTGTTTTTCCTTCTTTCCCCTTTTTCTTCTCTTCTTTTTTTTCTTTGCTTCTTTCTCCGCTGAACGGGTGAATCATATTCTTTCTTGCAGACCCCTTCTTCCCAGTTTGCTTCGTACCAGTACATTTCTTCACTCCTCTCTTTCATTCTTCTTTAATTTCATTCCGGTTCACCATCCTCTCCTCCTGATTTTCTCCCTCACCCCAATTTCTTTATTTTCCAATCTTCTTGATTCTCGTTTTTGGATGGCTGTCAGCGGTTGAGAAGCTGTGGCATCCGTTGGGAAAGATTTAAGCGATGTGTGGCTGGTGATAGCGGTTGGGGAAGTGTGGGCAATGGATGACGCTTGGCGGGGGCAGGTCAAATTTTGTCTGTGGAAGATCGGTGCCAGATTGGAGAAGTATGGCCGACGAGCAGTCCACAATGGCAGTTGGGAAAGTTTTGAGCGACTGGCGACGCGCGGCAGCAGAAAGGTTGTGGGTGACGGCGAAGCTACGACGGCGAATGAGAAGAGTTGGTCGCCGGCAGTTTAAAGCTGGAATGAAATAGAACAATGAAAATACTTGTAAGAAAGAAATAAAAAAATGAAAGAAAAAACGCAGAGGAGATTAGGGAAGAAGAAGAGGTGGTCTGTGAGGAGTTTTTTTTCGAATTAATGCTAATTAATTAATTAATTAATTACGAAAATAATGTTGAGTTAAAAGTATTTACGGATCTACTGCTGGGTTTATCCATGCTCATTACCATTACTAGTATGGTAATACTATTATTAGTTGTGTAGTAATTAAGAATGTAAAATTACTGTATCATTATACTCCCTAGTCCCTACTTCATATGAAGTACGTAGTAATAAATTTTCTTAATCTTAAAATAAAGGACAATATTAGCCGAATCTCAGATTAGGCCCACACTTCACTACGTGCCTATAAATATCCATCTTTTAGATTGGATCAAAAGCCCACCTTTCCCCCTTCACTGCCCCTTTTTCCAATCCCGAATTCCTTCTAACTATTCTTTTCCCTCCCTTCAAAGTAACTGCCATTTCTTGCCTTAACAGCTCTACTTTTTTCTTCATAAACTTAAATAAATCTTACAACTCCGAAGATGGTCGACGTTGACCGGAGGATGACAGGTCTGAATCCGGCCCACATAGCCGGGCTCCGCCGTCTTTCAGCCAGAGCTGCCGCCGCCGCCATCCCGTCGACTTATGTTAATCCTCCCAGTAACAGCTTATTCTCCTTCAACACCTTAGCTGATAAAGTGGTTGCCCACCTGAAGAATTCGGGTATCCGGGTGGAGGTTGGCTTGTCGGAATCGGAGTTTGCCAGAACGGAAGCAGAGTTTAAGTTTGCCTTCCCTCCCGACCTCAAAGCTATTCTCTCCGCCGGGCTGCCGCTCGGAAATGGGTTTCCGGACTGGCGGTCCTACGGCGCCGCCCGTCTGCAGCTCCGAGCGTCGATTGACCTCTCAATTGCCGCCATGTCTTTCCACGTTGCCCGGAACGATCTCTGGTCCAAGTCTTGGGGGTTAAGGCCGTCTGACCCGGAAAAGGCAATCAAATTCGCCAGGAATGCTCTCCGGAAAGCTCCGCTTCTGATACCCATTTTCAACCACTGCTACATTCCTTGTAATCCTTCGCTAGCGAGAAACCCGATTTTCTACGTAGACGAGAATCGGATTTACTGTTGCGGATTAGATCTCTCCGACTTCTTCGATCGCGAGTCTGCTCTGTTTCGGAGCTCGGAAATTCGCTCAATTGACGAAATCTCCGCCGGATCATCTTTCAATTTTTCCAGGAGAAGTCTCGATGCAGTCACCGGAGGGAGGAGGCCACGCTGGGTTGAGTTCTGGAGCGACGCCGCCATGGATAGACGCCGGAGGAACTCCCACTCGTCTTCCTCGACTTCTGAATCTCAATCTCCTGAACAGTACTTCGATTTGCCCAGGCCCGAAGTTCCGAAATGGGTCAACCAGTACATAGAGCGAATCGGGTCGGTTTTGAGAGCGGGCGGCTGGAGCGAATCAGACACCTCGGAGATCATTAACGTTTCTCCATCCGGTTTCTTCGACGGGGAGATGGTGCTTCTGGACGACCAAGCGGTTATGGATGCCCTTCTGGTGAAAGCGGATCGTTTCTCGGATTCGCTCCGGAAAGCGGGATGGAGCTCCGAAGACGTTTCGTACGCATTGGGGTTTGATTTCCGAACGGAGAAAGTGAGGAAACAGAGGAAAGAACTGTCGCCGGAGTTGGCGGAGAAGATCGGGAAACTGGCCGAATCAGTTTCCTTGTCGTCGTCATCATTTTAGTTGCCTTTTCCTTTCTGGTGCAACGGGCATTTACTGGCTATCGGCAAAACCGAAAGATTCGTTTCTTTATCGTACTTTTTACGCTTTTTTATACATTTAATTTTTTTTTATTAACTATAGGTTCGAAAAAGACAATAGACATACACAAACAAAAAGGGGTAAACATTGTATGATAGTTGTTCGGATAATCCTAACCTTTCTAATAAGGTGTAGAGATTTATATTAGTAATGCTCTTGAGATAATGTAAGATAGTTCATTATTACTAAATCCATTTACTATGTTAAATCAATCAAATAAAGTAAAACAAAAGATTACAAATCATTCTAATAAGGGAAAACTGTCAAATAGGTTCTCGAACTTTGTCAATTAAGTCCTTTTATAAGAGACTCTGTCCGGTCGTCGCGATTTGGGGGTTCTCGGTGAAATTTTTTGATGAAATGTTTTAAGCATCTTATTCATCAAATCTAGTTTACTCATACCAAATTTCAGCTAAAAATTTAATCGGGAGCGCATTCAAATTAATTCAAGAACGCAAAAATGCGCAGTTATCTTCAAGAATTAATTTGAATGTGTTCCCGATTGAATTTTTAGCCGAAATTTGGTATGAGTAAATTAGACTTGGTGAATAAGATGCTCAAAAAATTTAATTAAAAAAATTCCACCGGGAACTGCCCCAAATCGCGACGGCCGGATAGAACCTCCTATAAAGGGACTTAATTGATCTTTTTATGAAAGTTCGAGTTCCTATTTAACTGATAAACTTTGGTCAAGAATCAAGGTAGGTGCTAAGTCAATATATTGAGGTGGTCGGTTATCCACATGTTAAAACTATAATACAAATACACATTAATATAATGAGAAAATGAAATTGAAATGACATTTTCACTGAATTTCTCAGAATTGTCTCACATAATCGGCATCTCAAAATATTCACACAATTAATAGATATGATCAATTTGTTTCTGATATTAAGGTCCTAGATTCTAATCTATCATTCCAAACAGCTATGTTTGGTGTACACATAGTTTGTATAACATCATGCCTAGTTATCTGTCTAACAGGCAGCTTTATAAAGAAGATATTATAATGTGAAGGGAGAACAAGAACATCAACAAAGAAGCACAGAGAAAATCAATAGTGTACTGTTAAAAGGGAAATAAGATATTAGAGCATCTCCAATGCTATAGTGTGCACGATGCACATGTCGCATGAAATATAACCACATAAATATTAGCAAATAAATTATCTCTCTCCTTATTTGAATAATTGTATACAATTTCGATAAGTTTTCCCCTGCAATGTCAACTGCAATGTCAATATCTAGACGATCTCCTTGACATTATGGAGAAAAACTTACCAAAACTGCATAAAACCATTCAAATAAGGAGTTAAAGAATTTATTTACTAGTATCTATGTGGCTATCTCTCATGCCACATGTGCACCGTGCACATTGTAGCATTTGAGATTTTGGCGTGCCCTCCCTATTCATTCATTGATTAGTTTTTTTATTTGAGGAATTCATTCATTAATTAGTTTAGTCTTGGTTTTGTATCATGCTACCAAGAGAATTTATGCATTTTTCTTTGAGTTAATTACCCGTTTAAGACTAAAAGTGGACACATATGCACAAATAGGACTCAAAAAAATAAATCCCATTCCGCAGGACTTAAAAATGCATGTCTTTCCAATTTTAACCTCCATAATAAAATAGGGCCCGCGTGGAATTCGAAGCGCGAAGGAAAGTATCGGGAGTTGAAAGGGGAAAATATAGCAAACGGTTAGCGCATTTACTATGGAATCAAATTTTCCGACACAAATCTAGTGATTGAAAACTTCCAAAAATACTCGCGCCTGGAGTTGTTCGATTTGAGTTTCCATTTTTGTGCCGCAAAAACAATGAGGAAGAAAGGAAAAGTGCAGTTAAGATGGAAGAAGATGATTTTCAAAGTCAGAGCACGAGACGAATGAGCGCTCGACTGAATCCAGTAGTCGTAAGTTTTCGAAATATGCATGTCTTTGAATGTAAACGAAAATGAATAATGGATGTGAAATGACTAATGTTGTTTTAATGTAGTTTTTGTTTGATTTATTTGTTTGATTTATGGAATTATTCAAAGTTTTTTTAATGTAGTTGTTTTTTGATTTGTGGCATTTTCCGCATTTGTTGTTTGATTTTTGTTTAATTTATGGAATTATGTTGTATGAATGTAGTTGTTGTTTGAGTTCTGATATTATTCGAATTTGTTGTGTAATCGATGGGTTACATTTTGGAAGAAACGATAATTGTGTGTGTTTGTGTAAGTAGTATCTGTGGAAATGCCTAATTAGTGGATGAATTGAGAAACGTGTAGAACAGGGAGTATTTGTTCATTTGAGTATTTATGAGCAGACAATGGAAGTATTTACAATGAATATACTAAAATGGAGTGAATATAGTAAATTTTATTTGACAATTTCTATGTGATATATGTCATAAACAAGTGAAACTTTAATTATATTTTGGAATAAATTTAAATATAAATTTAAATTTCTGTGTGTATGTAGCTAAATAGTAAATGCCAAAATAACGGAGGAACTGGGAAAATGTAAAACAAAGAGTATTAGTTGATGAGACTATTGTAGAAAAGACAATAGCATATTTAGAATGAAAAAGTACTAAAATGGAATGAATTTAGTTAACTTGGCTTGTGTAAATAGTAATTGAGGACTGCCATAATAGTGGACAAATTGGGAAACATGTAAAACAGGGAGTAATACTAATATTATGATGTCATACTTTACCGCATTATAAAATAGTTGGAGATAGTTGGATACATAATGACAAAATGTTGGAAGAAATATTAATAGTGTAGCACAAGTTATGTGAAATACAAATTGAATGGTCATAGTTTCGAAAAGAAATATATGTACTTAATGTCATGGAGCGTGAATTTAATGACACTTTATTTGAACTGGTGATGTTATGGAATAAGGATGTCATGTGTTACAAGATTTTAATTATTAGTTGGAGAGATGTGGAAATAAAATATACATAATGACAAAATATTGGAAGAATTACTAATTTTATGAAGCAGAAGTTATGTAAATGACAACTGTAATGGTCATATTTTTGGAAAAATTTATGTAATTACTGCCATTGAGTGTTAAACTATTATAAATGTAATGATAGTTTTTTTGGTTGTTGGTAATATGGAATAAGAATGTCATATTTTACCACATTGTTTGCTTAATGGTAGTGGACATTTTAGTTATGCCATTTTTTTATAAATTAGGTGATTCAGGGATCTTTCAAGGAAACTGAATTGGAGAATATTGAGAGCATGCGCATTAACTGCTACTGCAATCTGAGTGAAGTTGTGAAGAGCATATTGATGAAACTTAATCCAAATGAAGTAGAGGAGTTTAAAAAGACAGTGTTCGGATGAGTTTTGGATGTGGAAGAAATGAAAACAATCAGTGGTCAACTGCAGCTCGATTTTCTATGCAACTATGTGAAGAAGGTAAACCACATAAAAGAGACAGAAGCTATTCGCTTCCACATCCAAAATAGTGTAATTAGCTTTAACAAAAAAGATTTATGCATGGCAATAGGATTGAAAGTGGATGCTGTGAAACCAAATTTAGAAGAGGAGATGAAAGGACCTTTCTGGGAAAAATAGTTTGGAAAAGCAAGTGTGAAAAGAAGAGAGGTACAAAATGCATTGATGGAATATAATAGTGAAGAAGCAGGAGTTGAACAAAATGATGGTGTAAAGCTTGCTCTACTCCATGTGCTATCACATGGATTATTTGGGAACTAAGTGGCTAGGGAATTACCAAGCTCTTATGTGAATCTGGAAGAAGATTTAGAGGCATTCAACACATATCCACGGGGTGAAGATGTTTGGGCAGATTTGGTGAGCAACATGAGGACAAATGCCAAGAGCCTTAAGAAGTGCAAGGGAGAACGTGTGACTGTACCAGGATGTCTAATAGCAATACAAGTCTGGGCGTTTGAAACTTTTACAGGGTTGGCAAAGGCAGATATATGCAAGGTAATTGAAGGGAGAGAAATGTCAATTCCAAGAGCAGTGAAGTGGGAGTTCCTAAAAATGCCGCATTTAGAAGTTTTCTGCAACATAATCTTCAAAAACAAAGAGGTAAATCCGCTTACTTACTAAATATTTAAATAGCATGTGAACTTAAAACTTTTACATATAAGCTGAAATTTTGTGGTGTTTTCATGCAATTTGAATGGGAAAGGATGCAGGCTACAAGTTTGGATATCGAAAAATTTCCAAATTTGGGGCCTAATACTGGTGGCATAGTTGGAGAGAGAATTGAAAGTGTGAAGTTATTCGAAAAAGAGAGAAGAAAGGGAAGCAGAAAAATACAAGGATTGGGAGAAAAAGAAAAAATAAAGAAGATGTGCAGGAAGAGGATGATGATGATGATAAAGGCACAATGGGCTTTGGCAATGAGAGGAAAGTTAATGTTGTGTTGAGACAGGTCAGGAAGCTTAACAAAGAAAATGCCAAACTAATGGCAGAAATGAAACAATTCAAGAAATCACAGAAGAGGCTTGAGAGATTTCTTAAGCAAATATTGGAAAAGTTAGATAACCAAGAGAAGGGTAAGCAGATAGCTGAGGAGAGTACAGATGAAAGCACTGAAAAGGAACAGGAAGAATCAAATGAAAAATCAGAGAATGAAGATGACAAGAATGCAGAAAGCACCGAAAAGGAGCAGGAAGAATCAAATGAAGAATCAGAGAGTGAAGATGACAAGAATGCTGAAAGCACTGAAAAGGAGCAGGAAGAATCAAATGAAAAATCAGAGAGTGAAGATGACAAGAATGCTACAACTTCTGAAAATAATGTTGAAGGTGAGGTGGAAAGCAGTTTGCCAAATTTTAATATTTTTGGACCAGAGACTCAGGAGAAATTAAAGAAAGCAGATGAAGGTGAAAGTGTGGAAGAAGAAGGAGATGCAACTGAGGCAGACAAGACTGTTGACAAGAATGCTATAGATGCAGTAACCGAGGGTGGAGTAATGGAAGAAGAAGTTGAGAAGAATGATAAAGATGCTGCAGAGGAGGGTACAAGAATAGAAGAAAAAGAACAAGAAGCAAGTGGGAAAGGTAAAAACAATGTAAATGATAATGATGCTTGGGGAGATGTGAACACACAATTTGTGAATGAAATAATCACAAGTGTGGAAGAAGTAGAGAAACAGATGCTAGGGAGTAATTCAAGAAAAGAGAGCACAAATGCCAACATCAATGTGAAAGCGGTAATATCTTTTATACATACCTTTAACAAATAATTTTTTCAAAAAATGAACTTTATGGTATATGAGATGTGCTGAGTAGTTTGTGTTTTTTATGTGTTGGGTTTAATAGCAGGATAGCGGAAAAGGAAATGAAAAGAATGAGATGAGGGAAAGCATGAGCAAGGGTGAAGAAATATAAAAGGATGTAAGTATATTTTGGAATAAATTACAAATATTTGGAAACACTGCCAAAGATTTGGAAAAATAAATTGTAACAGATTACTAACTTACAGGTGAAAACCATATGCGCACAAGTGAAGAGACCAAAGCGCGCTGCAAGGACCCTAGACAGATATACACCTCCAGAAAGTAGAATTCAGGCAAAGAGAAGAAGGAAGGAAATAGCAAAAAGGGAATGAGGAAACTTTTTTTCCTCCAAGAGAATATGGACCGTTTGCGGAAGACCCAACTGAGCAACCGCCAGTAGAAGAAATGAATAAAGTGGCAGAATATCAGAAAACTGGACTGTTGAAGAGACTGACGAAAAAGGACGGTGATAGAAAGTACAGAATGAATGAGGATAAGATGCACGGTGTCCCATTTCTTCTGGATATGCACAAATAGAGTCCAAAACGTGATTGTACAAGTTGTTTGTCAATCCAGAATGGCTAAATGATACGATAATGCTTTACTTTTACTATTAAAAAAGTATGTTGCAGATGTCTTAGTAAACTGTCATTCAAATAGGTACTATGATAAATTTTTAACATTTGATTTTGGTTTTAAAATTGGTCTGCAACATATGGATGTGGGAATGTTTTACTTAAATATGAAACAAGTGCACTAAAAGTTGAAGGGGCCCAAATACACCACATGTGGACCATTTTTTATGCAGGTGCTCAGGCGTGAAAATGAGGCAGTTAAGAAGGGTGATGAATCAATCAAAACTGCAGTAGACAATCCGGTAATTGCAGACGATATCTTAGGGATTGCTTATCCTTTTGATCGAAGTTGGGCACAATCAGACTTTGTTTACATACCTCTCAATACCGAAAACCACTGGGTACTACTAGTTTTGAGTGGTTCCTTTATGTGCAACAGCAGAAAGGCAGATTCTTTACGCGAAATTAGGTCTTATGTGCACAGCATTGAGTGGTTCCAGCCAAAAATAATGGACATGCATGGAGTGTATCAAGAAATTGGACAGGAGCCAATGAATGACCAAAAGATTGAACTGGAAGTTGTGGAGGACTACCCACAACAAGATGATGGGTAATAAATGACTTCTTAACTATTTAGTTGGACTATATCATAAATTAGAGTAAATTATGATATTTAATTGACAATGTCTTTTTTTGTTTTTTAACTGCATGTGATATGATAATGACAGAGGGAACTGTGGCATGTATGTTTTGAAGTTTGCTGAATTTCTTATGATGGGGAATTGGGGATGGATGTAAAAGAGGTTGCCTCAATGGACATGAGCATGTATCGGCCGAAAATGGCAACAGAGTTGAACTTGTATATCGCAAAGAGGACAAAGGAATGTAAACTGGAGGAATCTTAGAGCAGCATGGCAGAAGAAAAAGTACAAGGCTGGTGTGATGATGGTTTACGGATGGATATGTTTTTAATATTTGAATTTTCTGTAATGTTGTTTGATTGTTTTTTGCAATACTGTTGACATAAACTTACTTTTGTGAAACACAATATGCTGACAATATATGTGGCATAATCTCATATACTATGTTTTGAAATGCCTAAACATTGGCATTTTGTGTGAGAAAATTATATTTGGTTTATTATGTAGTCACATTGATACAAATTGACATTTTTCTTAATGAGACAAGTATTATACTAGCATCTGGAAAAGGTCAGAGTTCAAAAAAGGATAACATGTACGAAACTCAATTAAAAGTTCACTTGGGTATACATTGGGTTTTTAGTCATTGAGACAACTTGATATGAATAAGTGTTACGTCCCGGACCGCATCCGGGCCACGTAGACAACCGCCGTACAACCCGATAAGAACAACAGTTCATCCCTATTGAATTGTACAAGGCGTCCGATTGATTCTATTGCCAAACCGATTAGTAAACACATATAATCAACATCAATATCATAATCAACAAATGCGGAAATAATAATATGTTTAATACTTAGCCACACATGGCAAACACGGGCACGCAGGCCCCCAACTGTTTTAAAGAAAACATTATTCGAAAATCCATTAGCAGTTTATAAATTGAAATAAGAATGGAAGCACGAACCACATCTTCCTTCTTGATCAATCACCCTAGGCAAAGGTGCAGGTAGTAGGACTCTAGCCTCAACCTAAAAAATGTGAGCCCCCCCCCCCCCCCCCCGAAGGGGTCAGTACTCTATAGAAGTACTAGTGACAACAAGACTATATGAAGAATAACTAATGTTTCAGACACGAGACCCAAAAATAGGGTGATACATACATATATATATGTGTGTGTGTGTGTGTGTGTGTGTGTATGTGTGTGTGTGACTCATCCATCCGATGATACATACTGTATATATATTTGTAAAATACTCGACCCGTAGGTCATTTCATTCAAAGAGTCTTTTAGAGATAAAGTTCTTACCTGACCTTTCTCACTCCTTTCCCGAATGCCTAGCTCACAAGCTACATTCTACATTCATAATATCCTACCGAGTTTTGGGAGCATTTAGCATCCCGGGGATACTCAACCCCAACCGAGTTTCAGGATCATTTATCGTCCCGGGGATACTCAACCCCAATCGAATTTCAGGATCATTTGCAGTCCCGGGGATACTCAACCCCAACCGAGTTTCAGGATCATTTATAGTCCCGGGGATGCTCAACCCCAACCGAGTTTCAGGATCATTTATAGTCCCGGGGATGCTCAACCCCAATCAAGTTTCAGGATCATTTATAGTCCCGGGGATGCTCAACCCCAACCGAGTTTCAGGATCATTTATAGTCCCGGGGATACTCAACCCCAACCTTAATCCTTACCAAACCCTAACCTGGATATGGCTAACCTTTTGTTCCTTTAACTATGGACAATACCTAGCCATATAATCATATAACCATCCTTAGGAACCAACGTGGGCGGGTCCCACCTGAACGGCCCACATTAACCCACTCAAAACTGCCCGTTTTGAGCATAAACCAATACTCGATCGAGTATCTACCCATACTCGGTCGAGTACAGGAGACAGTAGCCCACAAAGCTAATTTTCAATGTATACTCGATCGAGTATCTACCCATACTCGATCTGGTATAGGAGGCAGTAGCCCCTTGGGGCAATTCTTCAGCAAATACCCGGTCGGGTATGTGTCAATACCCGGTCGGGTATGGCAGTTGACTTGGCGGTCAACGCTTGTTTGGCCGCCCAAACGGAGTGCGATTAATGTGAAATTTTATACACATGTACTTCTTGACGTCCTTGATCCAAAAATACCATTTTGGGTCCCTGGAAAATCACACATAATAAGTTATCACATTTTTAATCACCAAATCTACATAACATGCTTTTCGACTAGGTTTTATGTATAATCATGGCGTAAGCACACACTTGGTTATCTTTAATCATTTCATTAAACATATCCTTGATTAATTTAGGTAATCCCATGCCTCACGCAAAAGTTATAAAGCATAAAGCCGTCTTCTCACCTTAATGAAGCTTATGAAGTTCTAGCCTTCCCGATTTAGCTCCGGCGAAACTCTGGCGAACTTCAACGAACTCCGGCGACAACTCCGGCGACCCTTTCAACTCCGTGAAAGTTCCTTGAATACCTTAGACAAGTTAATAACAAGGTTTTATCATCATAAAACCCATAGTAATACAAATAACCTCAAAAAGGTTATTTTCCGGCGAACCGGTTACTTTGGCTTCTAAGTCCGTTCTTGGACTTAGAACCAACTTCCAACCCCTCATTCTACCATTCTAAACATGTAGAACAATCCTAGGGGTCCTCCACATTCTATATGAGTCATGTGGTGGTTAGAAAAATAAAGAAAAAGTTGTTATAAGGTCATTACCTTAATCGCCACACTTTTTCCTCCCTTTTTCTTCCTTAAATCCTCTTCTTGGACTTCCTTGAGCTTGAGCTCGGGTTTGGAGCTATGGAGATGAAGGTTGTAGAGATCCTCTCTCCTCTCTTGTTTACTTGGCCGAAATTATGGGTGTAAGGGGTATGGTGTTTCCTCCTTTGTCTTACTTGACAATAATGAGAGGGAATGAGGCCCACCCCTCATTTGATACCAATCCCTTCAGCATCAACCCAGCCACCAACAGGTTGTGCGGCCCCTTCACGTCCATTTTTAGACCCAAAAACGTGGGTTGGCCCCCACTTATGTGGGAGGTCAACCCTTTGTGTCCCGGAGTGTACAATCGGCCCCGAAAGTTGTATTTTCCGGACTGTTTTAATTATATTTTATTTTATCGGGTGAAATAAAATATAACACTTGTTACCAAATCCTTATTGGACCTTAGAATCAATATGCATTCCCCAACTTTTAATTTAGAAGTCTCCGAAATTCCTTTTTGGGCTGTTATCTGATAAATTGCCGATACCGACAATTTGGCCTCGTTTGACCAACCGGTCAACCCTATGCCATTGCCATGGCCCAATTAGGATATCCACCACCATATACATATTATCTAGTCCAAGATTAATATAATATGTGGTCCCGACAGTACCGGGCGGCCCCCACTTCCGGTGTGGGCCCCACGTGAATTTTACTATTCACGTAAAAGAAATGATAAAAATTTACAACCACGTAAAAATGCTTTTATTCATTTCTCAGGGTTCAATACATAATTTGGTACAGTACAAATACTCGGGGGCGGTGTTACAATAAGCCTAACAGCTACACTACTGAATTATAATAAAAAGTGAATACCTGTATTTACTTAGAAGAGATTCATGAGCTGCCAATATATGTGGCAGAATGTACGTAATGTTTGAAAATTCCGAAATATTGGCAGTTTAGAGGAATAAAACATAGAGCCCATAATGCCAATAATATGGAAGAAAAACGAAATTGTGAATGAATGTAAAATTAATGGTGTGAATGCAAAAATAATGTAACGTCTATGGAATACCTTAATAGGTACATGTAAACAAGGATTAAAATTCTAAGAAAATGGGAAATTTATGAGTTGTAATGTGGAATGGAAGGATTGCTATTAGGGAATAAATAATTTAAATGTGGAAAATGGACAAGATTAATCTCAACTATCATTGACCTAATTTAAATAAGAGATAATTACCCGTTTAAGACTAAAAGTGGACACATATGCACAAATATGATTCAAAAAAGTGGACACATGCATTATAATCATAAAACGGCCATAATGCCAAAAATATGGAAAAACAGCACAGGTACACATATGCATTATAATCATAAAAAACATACTAGTGACAGACATTTGGTATTTAACACAACACAACAATAACTGCAGATTGGTGGTTTACATGTATTAGAGTAAAGAGTTAAATTGTATAATATGACCCAAGAATCTTATTGGAAATACAAAATAGAAAGTGTTTAATACAGTGGAATCATGCTTGACTATCTACGACACGCATGGCATTGCAACAAGTCTTCTTGTTATGGCCAACAGCATGACAATGAGAACATCTTTTACGTATGGTACTGCAATATTCACCGATGGATGGAATTCTAGACTTTTTTGGGCGATCAGCAGGTCTTTTCTCACAAAGGGGTGTTTTGCATTGAATACTCAAAACGTTGGAAGGAATCAACCAAGATGTTGCATCACAGATTGGGTGCATGACACCATTCCATGTGGAATACCAGTATTGACGTGTGTAGTATGGGGAAATGTAATCATAGCAAGACAGTTGAGGTCGAAAATTGATAGCAGCAACTGCATGAACGCAAACAAAATGAGAAATTTGAAACTCCCCACATGTACATGTCTTGGCATTGAGATCAACAACAAAGGAGCGTGAATGCCTATCAATGACTTCAAACTCCAAAAATGAACACGGCTTGACTTGACATAAAAAAATGCAAATTAATATGATATTTGACCATTGGGAAAAGCAAAAATAGAATTCATGAATTCTGAACACGATGGCAGAAACAAATAATACATTTATGAAAATGCCAAAATTGTGGCAGTAATATGAATAAACAAACAAATCAGAAGTGCAGAACCAGAACTAACCCTCAGTCTGCTAGCTTGACTCTGAAGCGCAACAAGAACCTTCTCACATTTTTTTGACAAAATAGTTGTTGTCATTTCAGCCTTTTCCTTTCTCTCAGCAAACCATTGTTGCATCTTTCCTCTCAAAAAATCAATAAGTTTGGAGATAGAATACTCCGTTGCTGAAACATCAATATTGTTCATTGACTCCGCACAGTTTGATGTCATTATATCATACCTCCGAGGACCGGACATGCATTTAGCCCATTTATGACTGCCAATTTTATCTAGCCACGGGTGT